GGCCGCGACCCAACGCTAGAGTCATTCTCGGACATGCCTCGGGAATTCGTCCATGTGTAACTTGGTGCTTGAGCAATTCCGTTCGTGATAGCTTATGGCAGAGAGGATTCCTACTTGCAGTCAAAATTGCTACTGCCCACACTGTAGTAGCCCAAGGCCCTACGGCCAAAGCTCCCCAACCTGAACGTTCTCGGACTTGAGGGCCCCAACGGTGATCATCACCTCGCTCGGGTGCCGCCCTCGCTTTCGTTCGGATTTACAGACAGATTTACAGGGTTGCAGGGGTTGCAAAGCATTGCAAAGCCTAGGGGCCTCTGGTTGGCTATCCCTTTGCCCAGGGGACACTAGGTATTGGATGCAGTATGTTAACACCGGGTCTAGATCCTTTCTTTCACGGAGTAGATGTGGATTGGGAGGCTACAGTCTGCTAGGTCAAGTGAAAGGTATCTGTACTGCTTTTTGCTGCTTATCCGATCGTCAGAACAAGCCATGTCCCAGCCCTCTCAGTTGGGCTCTTCGAGCTTGATCGATGGGTTTGCGTATGTGTGATTGATAGTAGTAGTGGAGGAGTTGAGGGGCAACAGTGCTCGGTACAAAGAAAAATACAGGTTGTGGCTGTGACTTTCCGTCAGCATGCGATCTCATAAGCAGGGTGTGCCTGCGCTGACTTGCCCTCCGCTTCAAGCGACACGTCAAATTGAGCAAGTTAACACCATCCGCAACACCGGAGGAAGTGGCTGTCACAGGCTCCAAATTAAGACTGTTCCGTATATACTCTGTACTAGCCAGCTGTGTATACTATGTACTATGTACACTGCAATTCATGTACCTGAAACGTCCCCCAGAAGTCCTGTAACCGTTACGACCTCTTTTGGCTGCCGGCCATGTTCAAGCCTGCCGGAGCGTTGCCACTTCCCTGGGAAGAGCACGACGGTTGAAGCTTGTGGCACGGTCTGCTCGCGCGTTATTACTACACAACCGTGAGAAGGACAGAAGTGCTTCGAGCCCCAAGGGTTCGATTCGATGCCGGACGTCGCTCTGCTTCCAACTCGTACGTCCAGGGTCCCATGCCAGCATATGGGAGACCAGCTGGCCGCGCTGATTCGGTCGGCCTGGGGCGAAGCGAGAGGGACAACTGTGCCGCATGATGAGCTGGAGTTTACATTCTGGCCAGAAGTATGGTATTCGAGGCCCATTCTGAGGCGTCGGCTGCTACCCAGATCGTCGCCATCTGTCAGGCAGACGAGCCAGCGTAAGGCCTGCATCACACGCTTTCCGATCGGCGGATTTCTCCTGCTTCTGCGAAAGACTATGCTAAACAGTAAAAGCTGAGCCTACACCGCATCCCCCAAGCATCCCGAAGGCCATGCCAGGCGCACTTAGGTCAGCTGCTGGCCCAAACCAAGATCAACCAAGGTCCATGCTAAGTCAGTGTCTCTCAAATCCTTGCCTCTGGAGGTACCAGGTTCGGCCTTGGGTCTGAGAGTTCGGCTGGTTTGTTGCTGGAAAGAAAACAACGACGGAGGGCAGCACCGAACCAACAACCGTGACTGAGAGACCGGAAAGAGTCACGGATGTCATTGGCATGTTGGCAATGCGCTGTCTGGCTGTTGATTGTGAACGCCGCAGCACGGGTGCCCCATGTACCACCGTCTCTTTTTGAAACCAACAGCAGAGAAACAAAAACCAGAACGTCGTGCAACGCTACTAAGCCTGCGGCTGCCCGAGCATCTTCAGGCACTCCAAGACCTGGCTCCAGGAGGCCCAGGCTATTTTGAGAGATAGAAGGATCCCCCCAAATACCCTTCATTGTCGGCAGCTCCAGTTCCGCGTTGTTTCGAGCTTCATAATTTGTCGGTTGCTGCTGTGGTCGAGTTTCCGTATCAGACCAATGCCATGGGCACTATAGTATTGCGGCTTCTTCCCGACATGTGCATGGGTCAGTGTCTCTGGTAAGGGAGCCCTGAGAATCCCAGATCTTGCACGGCAGACTACTGTTACTGTGCAAGTGCGTACAGCAAGGCGGAAGCCAGAAGGTGACTTCTCGATTGCACAATCAACAGGCTGCAAAGTCTTCTAGGTGCGCATCTTCCAAGGCGAATCTAAGCTGGCTGCGCTGCCAGTATCTTCAATTTTTAAGGTGTGGCAGACGGATGACACGCCCACATCCCAGAACATAAAACATTAACTTTAGTTTCTCGTCGTGAGAACAGCATGAACATCATATGTGTGTGAGCCCCCCAGGTGATCGCGATGGCAGACACAAGCACGGCCGCAGGGCTGCATCGTAGAAGCACGTCCCTGAGGCACGGGGAGCTTTGCAGACCCATTGTCTCAGGAGAAGTGGCATATCCTTGCTACACATGCATATGATGATGATGATGATGTTACAGCTACAGGTCGGTAAAGAGATAGATTCAGATAGATTGCCATCATCATGTCTCAATGTTGTGGCTGCATGGCTTTACTAACTATCTTCATCTGACTCTAAACCAAAAGCCTTCTCATGGCAGCTGGAAGGGGATAACGCTAGGGAGCTTGTTCAGACGTTCCCGAAAGCATTGATTGGTGTTGAACTGCGAGGTCTGGACCTGTGATCGATGTATAACACGACGCCAAGCCGGGAATGTAGATTGGGTTGTTTCGTCGAGACTTTATACGCCCAGGCAGGTCGGGCTGCAGGAGCCATCGCTGGGCTCTGGCAGGTGTCGTCTGCTTCCAGATTTGTGCTGGCATGGGGGTCTTGGTGACGGTGCTTGCTTGATGTCCAAAACCCGAGCACTCCTCTGCGTCTCTTATTCCTATACTTCCCAATTCAGCTGCCCTCACCAGCATGAAGTCCCGTCTCTGGCCTCCAGCCGTCGCCGGCTGCAAGCTCGCGATGCGCGTCTGCAGCATTCGTCCGCCCACCCTGCGCCACAGAATTTTTGGGAAGCAGGAGGCGTCTCTCTCTGATCCCTAATACTTCAATCCGTCGTGGGCTAATTAGAACCTTTGGGGGCACCGTTTGGCATTTGGGGGGTCAGGACCGAAAGTACGGTTCCCATAAGACCTGAAAGGAATCAAAAGTTGCTTGGTACGATGTTTAACATGAGAAACCCCACGCACCCTGCGGCCAAGACGCCCTTTCGGAGTGGGCGGAATGATCGTTTGAACGGTAGGGCCGAAGCAAACCACGCCGACCTCGACGGTTAATGCTACGAGTACTGCTACTATGGCTCAACATGTGGCAACAAAGGCAATGCTCTACCATGCCGATAAGCAGTCATACACAGTACCTCACGGAAGTCTTGACGAACAGAAGGCAAGAAAAGATATATAACGACTGGCGATGATGTAACCACACAAACATGTACCTGAACACGTATACATATGTATGTATGTATGTATGTATGTATGTATATACATTTATACATTATTATATACACAACTGTATATAGTTGTACTACGATTGTACTAGTATATACATACATTATGTATACATATAGATATGCACACTCGGACATGAGCGTGTAGGGAGACAAGCTCAAGGGGCTTGAGTTGAGAACTCTAGGCTCGTTGGATTTGGCGAGCAATCCAACAGCAGTCGGAGTCTCACAAAAACACAAAATAGGGACCCTAATATAGTACCCTAAATAGTAGGATCCTTATGAGAAGGATCCCCAAATCGGGTACCCCCTATTCACAGCAGGAGTTGGGACGATCCAAAATTAAGTTTCCACCGACCAGAAGTCATACCTGCAACAGTAGCCGCAAGCACCCTGAATAGTCTTACAACATAGCAGGTTACAAAAAACATCAGCAGCAATAAGCACATCCTCCAGCTGTCTCTTGCTGCAGAACGCATGGGGAGCACTACCATAATCATGACCAGCGGGGAAAATGGGCATCAGTACAGTAAAGTGGCGTCTAAAAGAAAATGGAACTACGAAACTCGTAGACTCAACTCCAATGTTACTCATCCTCTGCCACGTTCAAGCAGTCAGAACTGCGACAGCGGCAATGTGCACTCCGAACCGAGCTTGCACCACTACTGCTGCGACTAGTGGTCAGCAACCCCAGGGCATAGCGACCCGAGCAATGAGCCACATGCCAAGAATAATCCTAACAATAAGAAGCCAATCACTACCAGTGTACGACCTAGCACCTAGGTTTGCATCCCCTAGGCGCGAATGCCCTGCCCTTGCATGATAAGGCCGGCGCTAAGTCAGTGTCTCGAACCTGATCACGCAGAATTCGGAGAATGCACCTCAGGCCAGCGAATGCAACACCAGCACTATAATGCCATCGCAGGTTCAGGTGTTGACTGGAGACAGCGTGTGAATCCTGGAGAATGCAGGGTCGAGACTTGCATCGAGAGTAGATCCCAGATTTGACATCTCATGGTCTGCATTCAACGATGTTCATGTGTTCACAGGCGCAGAGACGAAAATCCCCCAAAGAAGGTGTCTCGAATTTGATGCCAGGTGTGAGGATGCTCTACGCGATCTGTCAAAAGCTGCGCAACGATCCAGGAATCAAACACATGATTCCGTGCGAGGCTGGCGCTACCCTTGGTTTGCACTTGTCGTGTCCGGCTCTGTGCAAACTATACTGAAACCTTTGGCACATCTTCGCACATTCAAACAAACGGAATGCACAATTAATCTGCTGCCATTGCTTGAGAAAAATCCCTCGTCAAGTTCATGACATGGTGACACACTGTGATACTCCGAGTCGTTCTCCACATCCGCGACTACAACCACAAGCTCGCCCACCATTCTCGTAATTGGCGCCTCCTCCTTCTACCAGCATGGGATGCTCAGCTGCGAGCACATGTACCAGCAAGATGGACCAATGTCCCAGTCCGTCGCTGCTCGTCCAGAAAATCAACTCGCGAAGTGTTTCGTCTCGTTATTGCTGTCGAGCCGAAAATCCCGTTCCAGATGCAGACTTCGTCTGGCACCTCTTCGTCCCACGATCAGGATGAAAACCACCAGGGACCGGGGAGCCACCTTGCTTCACTTGCAGTGGCTGCGGAACCATTTCTGGAAGATGCGGCGGTGGCCCAGCTTCTGGATGCCTCGGATGCTCACGACTTCAATACCGTCTACCTATCCATGAAATTAGTCACACAGCCTGTTGTCGGCGAGTTGTTCATGATACCGGCCATACCGGATTCTTACCATATCATATAGCAAACGGGCAGATCTTGCTCACTTGCAAGTGTGGCACCGACGGCATCGAAAAAGCGATCATCCACCTGAGGGAAAACGAAGTTCCCAGGCAACAAAAACCCATGTTGACCAAGACTGAACCGATATTTTCACGTGTCCGACGTTCAATGCGCAGGCATCTGTCAGCTACAGAATGTCCCAGAAGACCAAATTTACCGTGTCCTGCAGGTGCTTGTTGCTTGTTACTTCTTGATTGGCCGAAATGGGACTCTGGCACAGCCCGGGGCCCATATGCATTTACATTGGTATGTATGTGTATATACAGATACATATACATATATATATATATACACACCCAGGAACATAACCACCTGAAGACCGCAACCAGCTGAGCACCTTAGCGCAAACCCCGAAAAGTTGGAAACCGGATTAAGGACAATTAGTGCTGGGAATACTCTTCAGGATAGAGGCTACATGGTTTCCAGCCTTTGGGCTTCCTGTCATCTCTATTCATCTCTCAAACCATGAACCGCAATGCTTCGAGGCATGCCTCCTACCAAGTCGGACCGCTTCGCACCAATATGCAATACCTTGCCTGACGCAAATCCTGGAAGCCGGATCCATATTCAGAATCAGGTTGGCGGCCTCACCCGCACGGACGAAGAGGCTCAAGATTTGCTCCAAAGAATCGAACCTTGGCCAATGTGACACTTGCTCTTCCTTGTTTGACGAGCCCAGACCGCCAACAGTCACGAGTCATGAAACCTCGCTAGCCATGTACACCTGGTCCATCACCTGGTTCTCACCACCACGTGCGGTCGAAGACAAACTGCTGACAGTCCTTCAAAAACAACGATGTGCTTTCCACGAAGACTGGCGATTATCTGCGTAGTGGAATGTATGTCTTCTGGAAGCATGGGCTTCGCCCACAACTCACCACCTACAAATACTGCAGCATACATTTGGAAAGGAGAAACACAGGACGTGTTAGATTAGATCGTCGCTAACGGCACCTGTCGAACCCTGCTGCTCAACAGCACTTGGTCTCCGAGCCTGATCAATTCCAAGGCGATGCATAAGGCTGCATAATCCATATTGGAAGGCATGGGCCCTATACGCTCTAGACTCTAAGCCCCAAGTGCTAGACTTCCTCATGTGTCTAGTCAAGCCACTGGGATGTTAGGGCATCGTGGTACGGCAGGACGAACCTCACAATCTGGACTTTCCGATGCTCTTGCGACTCGCCGGATAGGGCTGGGAGTTTGGATGTTCCGAGAAGCAAACTGCAAGTGCAAGTCTGGGCTTCGGATCCTGGAGATCTATAGGTCTCGTCATGGTACTCTAGAGCGCCACACATCGGACTTAGGGTGCCATGGTTGTTAGGGTCATAATTCAACAACCAGCGAGCTAAGAGAGTCTGTTGCGAAACTTGAGTAATATTCGGCTCAAGAGCGGCGGACTCAACATTCAGGGCCAACAGTTTCGTTTGTGGCCTCTGCTTTGCATCTCTCTTGCTTTTTCAATTCTTCGGACTCTGTCTGTCCCTCTGCCCGGAAGGATAGGATTTGGATGCCTCCATGGCCCATCCAACTCCAATTCGAAACTCACGTACCCCAAATTCCTAACACATTCAGAAAGCCTCCAGAGACCCAGCATTCGATTAATTGAGACCCTGAAGCCTAGGGAATGCCCTGAACAAACTCCTCAAAAGTAACAACATGCCCCTTCGATGTTCCGAAGATCGATTTCTCAGTTTTAGTGTACTACGGCGACTACATTCACATGCACAACAAACGCAGTAGGAATGGTCCTCACATACTGTAGTTTCGGACATCCATTTCCAGTACCCAAAGAACAAGTCGGAGACATGTCAAGATGTTGTACTAGAAACCATCGACAACTTGCTCCGTACTCTGCCTGACTGTAGACTGCAGAATCTGTAGAAGATGAGAGAGACGATGTTGCATGCTGCTCCATCTTCGTCCACGTGAGTGATTGTTCGCTCAGCCCTGGATGCCGGCCGGGCCACTGTGCATCCTCCATGGACTGGAGCCAGGCCCTTGTGCAGGACCACCGGTGATTTGTCGATGCTCATGAACATGCTTGATCAGGCATTTATACTGCGTGCCTGTGCACCATGCCCATGTCGAACAACGCCGTCATGGATTAGTTTCAGTGTAGTCCTACGATTGCTCCTGCGGGAAAGGAGCCAGGTTTCAGTCCCAAAAATTCCAACAATGCAAACGAACGTGCCAAGCAGCTTGAAGCTGCCTGGCAGCGGCACGGAACAGCGCCCTCGCACGTCCTGGGTCGAGACTTCCCGCAACAGCCCTCTCTGAATACACAGAAAAGCATGCTCTCGGCCTCCGCTGTCTCTGCCAGGCGCGGCTCGGGGGCTGCGGAGGCTGCAGGCTCCTGGCATTTGAGTGCAAGCTGCATTTCTGGGGCTTTGAAAGAGGCAGGGCTTCACTGTGGTGTTTGGGGTTTTGAGATGTGCCCTCAGACTGTCCCTGGATAACAGCGCTCACACTCAAGGTACAGCATGTCCGTAACTGTCTGCAGGACTAAGAACAGCAAGCGGTTGTTCGCACCAAGACTCAGGGAAGCCAAAGTTCGCAGAACAAGGGTTCGTGTTTACATCACACAATTCTGGACAATCCTAAGTTACAGGAACCGTTGTCGACGTCGAGCATTCATCGCCACAGCTACTGCAACTCGGTCAGGCATTATTGGAAGCATGATGGAGGATTTGTGGCTTTTAGGCCGGAGCCTTATATCGGCAATGCTTCCGAAACTCTCGCCCAAAAGGGAAAGGCCCCCGCCCCCGTGCCTGGACTCTCGTATCTGGTTGGAAAGGCTGCGTCCGACCGATCGCCAGCAGTGAAGCATCGCCTCTGCTTCATGTTGAAATGCGGGATGAATTTAGGACCAAGATTTAAAAAAAATTATGCATGTGCTTCTTGATTCGCAGGTTCGTTGACCTCGGCCGGCATGAGTGCATGTAAACCGGCACTTTGCCAAACATGCACGCCGGCTTAGAGCAACTCTTAGCAACCCGGCAACCCTGCACCTACCTTTCATGGCAGGCCTTAGTGGTGTCCAAGTTGCCCATCATGCGCCCAGTTCCTCCACCTCAATGAAAGCTCTGGGTTGCATCAACAGCTGCAACCACCAGCCTGATGATGATTGTATCGTCATCAACATGACCGGTTTCGTAGCGGAATGGCGGGATCATCGTCAGCACTTACCAGTGCCCGTCAGCAGCACACAACGGACGTGGGGCATATGAGTCGTCGTCAAAACCCCGTTTGGTGCCATTGTCCTATAACTAAATCGGTGCGTGTACTTGCGGCCGCCGATTAAAACTTGAGGACCGCATATACATATACAGATACATATATACATGTACATGTGCATGTAGTGCATGTACATCGTTGACATGTATGTCTATATATATATATACATAGTAAATGTATATATATATATACATGCATACACAAGTACACACACACATACATACATACTTACTTACTTACTTGCATGCATGCATGCATAAATACACACATACAGCCATGTGTAACACACACGCTCGCACATACATATACATATCCATATACATATACATATGCGTATGCACATATACATAGACATATACATATTGCCAATCTAAGTGTACGGATTGAGAGGCTACAGGGCCCGGGCTTCAACATGCGCAGGCTGGGTATCTGTTGGCTCGGTAGGGTATCGGTAGGCCACACAACTACATTCCGGTCCATAACCCCATTTTGGGCTACCTTCCTCTGACTCCGTTCAACTTATGCAAGTAGTTGCGGCCGCCCTCAAAATCCAAGACTGTTGGAAACCGTGGGTCATTCCAAAATACAGCCTGAACTGGGCCTAAACTAAGGGTTGTGACCGTGACTCATATGAGCATGCAAAGTCCAAGGGCCTCAAAGCACAAGGATGTTGCCCTGATGTTTCTGCTGTTTAGCCGGGGTTAACATCCACTAAACATGAACCTGTTGAAGGAGCTTCAGAGGTCAACCAGGTAAAGACTCTAGAACTTCCTAACCACCCAGCATCCTCGCCAGGGCTCTCTTGTATCGCTCCCTGTCTGCGGCCTCGGCTGTTCCCCTTGCCCGGATGGACTTTCTAAGCATTTTCGCTCGGGCTCCGAGGGCCACAAGTCCCAGATCTTTCATGGCAAGGGCCCTGCCTCCAAACCACAACCAACAGCGAGAATACGCGAGAATAACCATCAGCATCACCATCAATATCCGCGACTTTTACCAGTACCATGACAACCATTATCGGCACCGAGCCACCATGCACACTACCACCACCACCACCACCACCACCATCATAGCAATATGAATGTCAATATTTAACTTTTATTCATCATCATCATCATCGTCATCATCATCAACACCATCATCATCGACACCGTCGTCATCATCATCATCTTCTTCTTCATTGTGATCATCACGGTCAGCATCAGCATGATCACTATCGTCATGAACATGATGATGGCCGTCATCAGCATCATCACCATCCCTGTCTCCATCAGCAGGGGCACCACATCAGCAGTCCTATTAGGATGAGCACAGGCAGCACCATGAGCATGGCAACTACTATAAGTGCGGCCATTGCCGTCACTGCTGCCAAGACGCCTAACCTAAGCATCAGTATCAATCAGCACCAGCAGCACCAGCACGTCAACCTCGTACTTGCCATCTATCAGCACGGCCAGCAACAACAGGAGAAAGAATATCAGGATCAGGATCAGAACCCGCAGCACTCGCACCACAAGCAGCGCTAACAAACCACCACTGCCACCGTCACCACCATCAGCATCTCACCGCAAAACCACCACAACCATCCAGTATCCGTCAGCATCAAGACTGCATCAACATTATAACCACCCTCATCACCGGCCCCTCGATACTACTCATCATCCTCGTCGTCACCGTCATTGGGCGCCAGCGGCAGCAGCAGCAATGCTGCTACAGCAGCGACAGAACCATCCTCACCATCGTCACGAAAATATAGCAATCCCCTGCCATTTATATGTCGAAAAGTCACCACTGGAGATTCTAGTCTGTTTGGTATAAGTGGATCCTCGCAAGCCATCCGACCACCCACTTGCAAAGCTTGAAGAAGGTCCGAGCTCGCTCACGCTGGAACTGTCGCCCCTCTCTTCACGAACCTCTGACTTCGAGACTCTGCCGTGCTCTGCCTCCGAGGCGCTCCCCAAGCCTGGGCGGATGGAGACCAGAAACCCCGCAGATGGAGCAACAGGGTGACAAAATCTTAGGGTGCTTCTGGAATACTTACTTACACAGAAATTCGTATGATTTCTGTGGAGTCGTCCACTTCCAGGCTGAGCCGGTTGTCTATGAACGAAGCAAGAAAGATCTGTCCAGTAGTGGCCAACAGTTCGATGTTTGCAGGAATGCTTGCTAGTATGGGACTCTACAACGAACGCAACTCATGATACAACAGCTATAGGCCGAGGACCCAACAAACTTCCATGCCGTCGCCTTATCACTTTTCATGATCAAGCACGGCGGATCCAGATTTCAGTCCGATTTGAATAGCACCAACGTCAACACCACCCCGTGAAGGAACGCAACTTTCATTGAACCCAGCAGAAACACATCTCATCTTCTGTGACAAGCTGATACAAGAACGCAGGGCCACTACAACTTCAATCAAAGCCCAGGCACAGACACCGGCCCAGGAGGTTTCGGAGCCCTAGGGCCCAAGGGACGTCTCGGCGCCGCGCCGCTCAGCTCCATAAGTTCTCGGAAGGGGAGCTCCCTGAAGCGGGGGAAAGAAGAAGAGAGGGAGGGGCAATTTGGGGCTCGAAGGGCTGATGAACCCCCGAGGCCTGTCCACGTAGGGTAGCATCTGCTCCTGAGAGGGGACAAGTTGCCCTGGTCGGAGTGGCTGCCCCCTGTGTCACAAGGTGCTTCTCTTGAAGGTGCTTCTTTCGGTCAAGATCCAACCCACTGTGCCGACTTTCCAAACAGAGCAGGAGCTTGGCCCGACACGAAAGCACTCGGAAGGGGCCGTCCTGTGCCACGAGCTCCGTCACCCACTGCGGCCAAGGCCTTCCACTGGTCTGAAGGGCAAGCGAAAAGCGGCAGCAAAGCTGTCAGCAAAGCCCGGCAAAGACCCGACCGTTTTGGGAGTCAACGCGAATCGTAGGGAGAGTTTAGATGCTTCAAAGCATCGGCGGCACCAAGCCTGGCAGTCTGTAACACAAAGGCGCTGAGAGCCGCGGCTACGCACAAAAGGATCCAATGCAAAATCAGTCTTCAGCTGCGTGGTCTTATCGTGGGACTCTGGAAATGTCCACACTCGAAGTCTGATTTGATGGAGACTCGGATTCTCGGCACGTTATGCATGTCCTTCAATGATCGCGCAGCTGATGCAACTCATGTACTGAAGCTCAAACGCCAGCGCTTCAAAAGCCAGCTCGGCTAATTGCCGGGTGGCGCATCAAGCAGATTGCGCCCACCATCAGAATTAAATTAAAGTCAGTGCTCTGATTTTCAAGCGTGGGCACTGCAAGAGTCTGCCCCGGATCTCTTTGCAATCATTGCGGTATGCAGCCCCTGGTCATGAAAATGCGGAGCACGACCAATGCAAGTGGGGTCGGCCCTCCAGGCTGCTCCAACAAAGATCCATCACAAAATTCTCGGCAGGCACTGGAAAATCATGTGCCCCAGGCCCTGCTGGACCCTGAAAACACGTCAGTTCTTTCTTCTAGTCTAGACACAATTTAATGGCTTTAACGTGAAGTCTATTACAGGTACTAGTAGGTGGAAGATTGGGTCGGCAAGAGCAGTATGCAAGAGAGCATCGACCATCGTTCTGCTACCTGACAAAATACTACAGCAGTACTACAGAGGTTGTTCAGAAACACGCTGGAAACGATGGCGAGTGCTAAAACTTCGTCTGTGCCCGAATGGACTGCCCGGTTTCAGTGAGATGTTACCGATAACTAGCCGGTGCACCCAACAGAACCAAATGCGCATCCTGATATCAGAGCAGTCGGGATCCACGTAAGCGCAGCACAAAACGGAAGATCACGCCTTGCCATTAAGGTTGCCATTGGCAACAGCAAGGTATGCTTGCCAGCCATCTTGCTCTAGTCGTCGGCGTTTCTTCTCCACGGTCGCGGCTTCGGCGGCCATATATTTGGCCATCTTCTGTCTCTGTCCCGGGTTGGCGGCCCCCAGGATGCGAACGGCGAGAAGCCCAGCGTTGGCCGCGTTGCCGATGGCCACTGTGGCCACGGGGATGCCTTTCGGCATCTGCACGATGGACAAAAGCGAGTCATTGCCGCTCAAAGTAGAGGACTTCACGGGAACACCAATCACTGGCAAGGGCGTCAGTGCTGCCACCATGCCGGGGAGGTGCGCCGCACCGCCGGCCCCTGCGATGATCACATTAATTCCTCGGGCCTCTGCAGTGGTTGCGTACTCATACATGTACTCCGGTGTACGATGAGCGGAGACAACACTGATTTCGTAAGGGATGCCGAAGTCGTCGAGCACCTGAGCTGCATCCTTCATTGTGGGAAGGTCACTGTCGCTGCCCATGATGATCCCAACGCTAGGTGAAGGCTTGGTCGGAACATCGTGCTTGTTGGCGGCGTCATCACCATCCACGGCTGTCAGGACAGGGCGAATTTCTTCTAATGCAGCGGCTGGGGTAAAGCCGGTCACAGTGATGTGACCCATCTTCCGGCCTTTGACGCAGCCCTCCTTGCCGTACCAGTGGATACCAGCATCCGGCACCAAAAGAGCACGTCGGAGTGGAGCCATGGTCTTCGTCACCATCTCTGGCGTTTCACCCTGTCCAAGGATGTTCACCATCATGGCACCACCGACTCGGAGCTGGCAGTCACCCAAAGGGAGGCCGAGCACACAACGCAGGTGCTGCTCGAACTGATCCACACCACAAGCTTCGATGGTGTAGTGGCCAGTATTATGCGGTCGTGGAGCGATCTCATTCAGGAGCACGGACCCATCGTGGAGGAGGAACATCTCCACGCCGAAGATACCCCGAGCGTCACCGAAGCTCTTGATGGCGTCGGTGGCAACCTGCTGGGCTAGCTCCTGCTGCTTCTGCGTGACTCCCACCGGTGGTGTGAGGCAGGTGAAGCAAACGCTGTCGCGCTGCACAGTATGCACCACTGGGTAGGTGCGCATGGTAACGTTCATGGTCTCGTCCACGCCCCGGGCAACCATCACCGCCAGCTCCATCTTGAATGGAGCCCACTTCTCCACGTACAACTTCTTGCCGGCCTTGCCGCCAAGCTTCTCGAAGGCCGCCGTAATGCCCTGTGCATTAGGCACGACAGCATTGCCCTTGCCGTCGTAGGCACCGTATCGGCTCTTCAGCATCATGGGGTAGCCGAATCGCTCGCCGATGCTATGCAAGTCAGCTTCAGACTCCACCTTTTCGAAGTCGGGCAAAGGCACACCATGCTTTTGAAGGTGGACCTTCTGGACGTACTTGTCCTGGATCAGCTTCACCACGAAGGGAAGTGGCTGAACGGGGACGCCTGCCTGGTGAAGCTCCTCGAGCACCTCCGCATTGACGTGCTCCACCTCCAAAGTGAGGATGTCACACTTCTTGGCCAACTCTCGGACCGAGTCGGCATCCTGGAAGCTGCCTTTCACCGACATTTCGGACACCTGTCCGGCAGGCGACTTCTCCCCAAGCGGGTCCAAGACGCACATCTTCACTCCAAGGCGATGACCCGCATAGACCATCATTCGGCCTAGCTGGCCTCCGCCAAGGCATCCCACGGTGCGCTTGTCCATGGCGAGAAGGATTGGAGGGACGGCTAAGACTGGGTAAGGGATGGCTTATGGGCCTAAATGGCTTCAGGCCTTCAGGTTCCAAAGCTGGGAAGACTCGCTCCGACATCCTCTTCTTCACCGGCTGTAGGACTGTAGGACTCTACCGGCTTTACCAATTCCGGCCCGCAGTGCCTTGGCGCAGGCTTCGGAGGCCGCGGGGGTTGCGGGCCAAGAGATCCCTGCCAGGGCTCAGCGAAGATGCCTCGCAGTGTCCAAGCAACTGACCGTTTTCTTCAGATATTGCAATGGAGAGGGGGAACGTGATGACTTTCGGGCAAACGACCCGGCTCCGAATTTCAATTGCCTTCGACGGCCAGCCGAGAGTCCGTACTTGTGATAGTGCTTCTTCACGTACCTGTCTCCGGGCAGCTTCGGGATTCGAATCTGAGTTTTCCATCCCCACTGGAACGAGCTCAAGCTTCGGAAGCCGCCGTGTCAACGGACCCAAGCCCACAAAACGAAAGGGCACCAGCTAAGACGAAGCGCAGGCTTGTTAAGCTGATGATCGTGTGTATGTGTATAACACATAGGTATACAACATGCCCATCGAGTATATTCGACTATTAACCTTCCGGCGACCAAGGCTCTGCGAAAAAGCTGCCCAGTCTGCAACCAGAACTTGCTCTTCCTCCTCGGTACGTAACTCACGTGGCAAATCGCTCAAGGGTTTAGGAACTCTAACATTAAAGGTCTAGGAATTGAAAACACGTAGGAAGCAGTTGCTTCAAAAGACAACAGCCAGTTCAAGAGCAGGGTGCCCACAAGCTCGAATGGACAGTTTGCTGCGCCATGTTAGAAACCGTCTCTCTCTCTCTCTCTCTCGGTATATGTATGCGTTATATATGTATGTATGTATGTATGTATGTATGTATGTATGTATGTGTATATATATATATAGGTAGGTATATACATTTTATGTGCAACATGCTTGGGCTGACATTGATGTGGAACTCATGCACACCAATATCACATATACATGTACAAGCACACGAACACACCTGCCATCATGTGGGCAAGGTGCTGATCGTCTCCGCATCTGGTCGGTTTGCCTTCAAACTGGTCTCTGCGAGCAGCTCTTTGCTTTTGTCTTGATGCTTTTGGGATTACAACATCCTACCAAGCATCCGCCGAGCCTGAAAACCCGAAAGTCTGGAGTCTAGGGGAGAAGTCCATACACGGCAAAGCCAATGCTCATTAGTCTGACAAATCGCAACGTGTATACCACGTGTTTACCAACAGGAGGCTTTTACGTAGAGGACAGTAGTAGAGACCTCGAGCCGGCATCCTGATTCAGACCCCCCGGATTCGCCTGCAAGCTTTTTCACTGCAAACAAGCACGTGCATTGATGTGATTGATGGCTTTGGCTGCTGGAAGACTTCCCGGGCTTCTGAAGCCAAGCAACCAAGCCAACCGTTTGAGTTCTTCGGGAGCGGGCGGCGCTTCTGTCGGATGTCCTGAGCTCAGCGGCCATTACACTTTCGGGCTTGGGGCCTGTGGACAGCACAAGGTAGCCTGCAGAGTGTAGTGGTAAGATGTGGTGATAGTCGACGTCCAAGCATTCCAGCTCCCTTAAATCAAGCACTACATCGGTGCAGCATGCCCCGAAGACACAGGACCCAGACTCGGAGTTAAGAGCCTCCTATTCAGCACATGATTCTTTGGGCAACGGAAGTGGGCTGCGGGGATTGCAGCGAATATTGTGAACGTGATGACTCCTCCGGAGATCCAGCCCTGCACTACAAAGAGAGCGAGAGACAGAGAAAGAGAAAGACAGAGAGACAGCGACACAGAGAGAACGAGTGAGTCTTAGGAACTTCGAATCTTCGAACCTTATTTCCGAAGTCTCTGCAGCGCATTCCTGTCTTACTAGTACTTAATTCCCGTGCCCTGCCTGGCATCTTTGCCGGCCATCGATTCGGAAAGTCCTGACCGAAAGGCACACGCACAAGGCAACAGCGCAGCCCAAACATCTGCTCCTGTAGGCCAGCAGCTACGACAACCACCAGGAGCAAAAGCAGCAATAACAATGAATGGTAATTATTTAGTTAGTAGTTATGCATTCGTATCAGGCATCAGCCCCCAAGACACCAAGCGTCGTTGTCAGACGTGGTGTCGAGGTACCAGTTGTCTGCATCATCGAACTCGGCGAGGTATTGCAAGGCACGGGCAGGTCCATCGAGCGAGAACCTGGGGCCAAAGGGCTCACCAGCTCTCGTTGAACACACGCTCCCAAAATTGCTTGTGGGTCTCTTTGCAAAAGCCAGGCCGACGATCGTGTGTTGGCTTTGTGCGGGCTCAGTCTTCGGCTGCGACGACCCTTCCGTGCGGAAGGACCACACCGATGCTCTTGCATGATGCGTGCAGGGAACAGGTGGGACATGCGAGAACACTAACTGCTTGAGGGCTGCAAAGGGCTCTGTCAAAGCTCGCGCAGAAGGTCCGAGCATCATAAGCTGGAGCAACAATCGACATCACCATCATGCACACCGCCAGAGTTTGTAATCAGCACCACTGTCACCAGCAACGGCGGCGAGAGGCTATAACTATGCTGACTGTCATGCGCACGACCATCACCACGAAGAGTGTCATCATCGCCTGTCTCGATTTGCGTCATCGAGGCCTGTGTTTGCATCATCCGCCTCCTCATCCTCAACCTCATCACCATCCTCGCCATCGTCATCAGCATCATCACCATCATCATCATCATCAGCATCATCATCTTCTTCTTCATCAGCAACGTAATCAACATCATCATCATCAGCAGCAGCATCAGCATCATCATCTTCTTCTTCATCAGCAACACAATCAACATCATCATCATCATCATCATCATCAGCATCATCAAGGCCACCACACCGTCGACATCATCACCAACACCATGGTGCTCATACCAACCATAAAGTCATAAAGAAAGCATCGCGGCTAGATCTGACAAGACACACATCACCAGAGCTCAGCTGGTAGGCGACACCTGGCTCCTGCCGTCGTTCTACCAAATGTAAAATGTGCAAAATCGAAACTCGGATGACTTGAAGTGAACCAAGTACAGCAAGACACCGGGTGCCTCTGCCCATGATCATCATAGCGCTACTGTGCCCAATAGCATCTAATTACTGTGATTCCCCGTGCGCTCCAGCACCGTGTCTCCCAGATTGGTCGGCCGCCGTGTCGAGACACCCTCGACGAACCAGTGGCGGCCCTCCTGGCAGACACTTGCGTCTGTGGATTTTGAAGAAGTAGGCAAGTAGGCTCACCATGCTTGAGGTCTTCAAGCTTTTCTGGGCTTCGCCCTTGTCTCTCGTCCTATCGGGTTTCGAGCGGTTTGGGGCAGTCTTGAGAATGGTAGTTCAAAGCTTCAAGGTTTGGGCTCATTTCGGGTTTTGTGTCAACAAAAAGCTATCCAGTTACAAAAAGTTGAAGATGCTGAGATTTTGCGGAGTTTGCCCTGCTGGCCACAACCACAGTCTTCCATGTTCCTCCTCGAGTGACACGACAGAAATTCCAAAGTGGTGCTGCGTGCAAGACAACCATCTTGAACTTTCAAGTTTGGGCGGAACATTCTTGGTGCTGGATGTAAGGGCTTGGGGCAGTCCTTGAACACCATGCAATGCCGTGACGCAACCCGTGAGTCGTCGACCTGGCATGGTTTTTGGATGCTGCAACTGCATGTCGAAAAATCGAGCTGAACACGAGCAGATTTCAGGGCAATTGCAGCAGCTCGCAGAGCGTGAATAGCATCAACAGCCAACCGAGCACAAAGCTTTGTGACAAGCTAAGACAGGGGACGCGTAACATGAATTCCGAAGCCGCCTGAAACTAGCGCTAAAGCGCCTAGCGGCTCAAATTCAAGTCATGCTCTCCTCCTTGACAGACTTTGGACTTTCGGCTGAGACCAGAAATCCGCATATGTAATGCTGCTTGCTTCATTGCACCTTAAACTCCGAGTGTCTGCAACATCTCTCAGGCGCAGGCCCTGATGTGTGCATCCTCGTGTGCTCCAATGGAAATGCGCGGAGGAGGGCCGTTCCGGGTCTTCTCATGTCCCTCCTGGTACCTTGGCTTGGCTGGCTTTACAAGGCAAGGAATCCTTAAAACGACGTTGCACGGAACTCCTGCGTCTGAACCCGGGCCACCATCCAAAAAGTTATCGACCATGACCCACATGGGAGAAGAACCCGCGCAAGCCGATTGTTTACCCAATGGTTGCAGCACACAAAGGGAGCTAGAACGAGTTGCAACTTCATGCCAACTTAACCGAGACTACGTAGAATGGTTTCTGTCAGTGCCGTTCGTGTCTAGCCACTCGTACTGCCTGTCCTCTGCCCAATGGGTATTGACAATATTGACTCTTTGAGAGTATCGAAACTGTGAAAATGCCGGGCCACCAGTACTCTGGTAGCCCATGGGTAGTCGCTCGAATCCACGATCCCTGGCAGCGAAAATGTTTGGACTGCTCGCTTCAGCGTGGGTTGTCGATCTGCTCCTACATGTAAATGTAAGCATCGAGTTTGTTGGGTGTTATAGCAGGCGCGTTTGCGAACAAAGGAGAGCACGAAACTGCAGGGCACAAGGAATTCCTACAATGGAAAAGCTCTGACCATCCTCGCCACAGGCATTGCTACCTTTCAAGGCTTTTGTTGGATTCGCAAACTATGACCGGCTCGGCTACCGACCGTGCCCCCTTCTAATTCCTTCCGACATTGCCCTCTTACGGCCTCTTCCTCCCTCACAGCATCAACGGACGCTGCCGCTCCGAACAATGCAGCCTTTGGCACAAAGCCTTGGATAAGGGTCCCAAGGGCTGATTCGCAAAATTACGCTTCGGGTGCGGCCTCGTGCGAAGGAAATCCCGGCTTCTCGCACCAGTCTGCGGAGCTCTCCGCCGTCGGCGCCATGTCAGGTGGCCGCAGGCGCATGTCTTCAGGTGCTCTCCAGGCTTTGGGGCTGCAGAGATTCTGTGCTGTATCACTGCATCCTTCTAGGCTTGCCAGCTTGTCTTCAGGCTAAGTTGTCTAAGGTCCCGCCTGTGGGATCGCAAAGTGCACTGTCCGGCTCGGAAGTCGCGACGGCTAGCGGGGGCTTCTCTGGGTGTTTTAGCTGCGGACCGACGTGACTGTCAATCCTCGCCACATGCTCCTCAACCAGCATAGACTCTGTTATGAGCATGATAGGACTTTTGACAGTGACATCATCAGCATCGTAACGGCCAGCGTCATCGCCATCGTCATCAGAATCATCATCATCATCCTCATCTTCATCATAATCAGCATCACCATCATCATGATCGCCACCACCATGGCATTCTGCTTCTTCCTGCGGACTGAACCGAAATCCGAATGCAATCATTACTGTCGTTCCTCGTCGTTGTCATGCTGTTTGATGCCTTGGTTTCTGTCAACTTTTGAGCTGCGACCAGGCGAAGCAACACATCCTCCCTCCACGAAAGCAGGACGGACTGTGGGCGGCACTGGACGCAAGTCTGAAATCGATTGTACTGCGTCCTGGTCGCAGCGCTTCGTCTACCGGGCCGTGCTGGACCCACAAATCTTCCAGAGTCGCCGGATTGTGGCTGAAATGCCGTCAGCATCCTTTGTCTAGTCATATGTAATGTAGCCCGGCCGGGAGCTTCGAGATCATGCAATTCGCTGGGTTAGCTGAAAGATTCGCTTAAGCCGTTTCCTTGGTTCCCAGTCGAACAACATAGCTGCAACGATAGATACCCGCTGAGCCGTCCTGGTGTCGTTGGACTTCATGGATGCGCTCCAGTCCAAGCAGAAGATCACGACCTTCGGCTCTCTAAGTGCCTGGTGCTGTTTCTCTGTTCCTGCATCGTCAGCTGCGTCTTGCCTACCCTAGGCCCTAGAGTGAGCTGACCCTCTTGCTCTTGCACATCCTCTCTCCCTCCCGGGCAAAGGGGACGGTCTAGTCCCTCGGGCTTTAAGCACACCCGAACCCTTTTGCAGTCAGTGTGGTCACCTGAACATGGCCAAAGCCCTAAACTTTACGATGATGTGCTGTCACTGATCACACTCTCGAAGACAGCGGCTTCAGATCCGCGATGCTTTCATGAAATGATACACGACATAACGGTTCGACTGAAATAGAAGCATGGAAGCATCATCTTCCTCGAGCCCCCTCTTACAAGTCAAGCCTGACTTACAAATCAAATGTCAGGATCACTGGCAAAGCTATCGAAGCACTTTTGTATCAAGACAAAAGCTGTTGACGATGCAAAAGCAGTTGGAGATAAAAGACGCTCACACGGAAGTACTAGGAGCGGAGATTCCCCCATTCCAGGGTGAATTGGTTGAGTCCTAGACTGGCGTGTGAATCATTTACCTACGACTGACATGACAGTGGAAGGCAAGGACCCCCTTGGTTTCTTCACGGTCACTGCAAATTACGTACATGCTAAGCTCATTGCAATTTTTCAGCGATCACGGTAACTTGCCTGACTTGCCCGACTTCTGGTTCACTTCAAACCGAACACATTGAAACACATACACAGACACACAGACACACACACAGAGACACGGACGGTTTCTCTCTCTCTCTCTGTCTCCTGGGCGTAGGGGGCTGGTCAAAGCCCCCGGGCAAAAATGCCCACCCGATTGTTTTAATCGGGGAAGGGGAGTAAAGAGCGAGTGTAGACTGTCTACGGACTCATGTCATAAAGTATGCGGTGGCGAACACAAGACAGTCGTACACTTTCAAATGACACATGCATGCTGAGGGTATATTCCCCCTAGTGCCAGAGCATCCTTCCGGAAGTACGGACGCTTCTCTCTCTCTCTCTCTCTCTCTCTCGCTCTCTTTGTGGCTGGTTTGTGCAGGTAGTTTCGAGGTTTCAGGGAGGTCGGGGTCTGAAGACTTCGCTTTGATACTCCTTCGGCCAGATTCAAATTCTAGGTCGAAGTCTTTCTGGCAATAGCATTGGACCTAAACACCGTGAACCCTCCTGAACCCTCTGCCCGACATCCTGGTCCCCAATCGTGCACCTCTACTTCGAACCCTTCGTGACCTGCACACAGATCCTCCCCAACCATGCCCTGAGGTGTGGTTACAAGCCCAAGCTACCTTACTAGACCTTAAAGCCCGAAGCTCTTCTTTGAATGCAAGCTTTCCCTCGCATGCCTTAGGGCCGCCTCCGCCGCTGACCTTGGGCGGACTTTAGTTCTCAGAGTTGGGGGAAGACTTGAGCACGTTGAAAGCTTTAGGCAGTTGAGATCACCATGCCGAGAAATGTTGCTGCTACTTGTATTCTGTATCTATCTTGCTCTTTGCTCTTCATGGTATTATTATGAAGGAGGAGCTTGGTGGTTCTTTAGTAGCTAAGTTGAGGGTTAACGTCTTAAAGCTATGAAGGCTTAAGGAAAGTTATGGCCTAGAAGAAGGCTGAGTAAGTTTCAAGGCCTCACCTAAATACCGGCTCTAAACAGCAAGAGCTGAACGTTTTGGCCTGCTATACAAAACGTACTGAGTCATAAAGGATCAATCATATCTTCACGAATAAGAGCATATAGCTCCACCAGCATTCTTGTCAATCTCATGTTACGCGGTCTGGCTTTTTGGGAGCTTCCGGGCCCGATCCAGGGTCGAGCGCCTGAGGTCTCGATTGCAGCAGGGACGGACATCTACAGTAACTCAGAGCTCTTGCACCTAGGCCAACAATTCCAAACCAAGGGCTTCCCCCGACCAGCACCGCTCTTTGAGCTCGCGAATCAGGAATTGAAAGCCTTCGCAGCCAAAACTCACTTCCTACCCCTCCCTGGAAATTCCTGGAAACCCACCCACGCCAAGATGACGAGGGGCCACGTTCACTGCGGCGCCAGGCCTCGAAGGAAGGCTATTTGCGCGTGCATACATAACATATGAACATGCTTGTCGCGTGGCGGCTTTGACGACGGTGAGACTGCCGCCGCTTTCGGGGGGCAGGGTCGAACATTCTGTTCCCTGTCTACGCAGCTCGGGAAATCAGTTGTCGGGCCTGAAACGGAGCTTTGCAAAGGGCCTTTCAACACTCACAAACAAATACATAAGCATCAAACAAAGTGTCTAACACGCTCGATTCGCAAGGTTTCGCTCCCTGGTCTTCGGCTAAGCGCACATGTCGAAGTCCTTGTTAAAGTCTCCGGTCCAACCTTTCCGAAGCACACAAAGCCGTGCAAAGCCCCCGACACATGCACCGGCAGCAGCGCCGAGCCGCCAGCGGGAGGCTGGGCAGGCGATGCAATCTCTCTTTGGAGCCCTTTCTGTGTGCGAACTACTCCTGAAATCCTATGCCAGCACACTATGCAACCGCTTTGAGCATCCGGGCTCTTTGGGCTGTGCTGGTCTTGGCTATTAAGGTTCGTCTCGTCCGAGGTTACCGTTATGCGAAGATATGCGAAGGAGGGATGGGCAGGCTTTTTGGATGCTAGTGGAGAAGATACCACCAAACGGGGACACTCTTTTGCAACAAGCCCAGTATCTGATCTCCGAACCCCCTCACACCCTACTCCTGCCGACAGCCCAGAAGACCCGACTCCCGAAGCTCGACGTTTATGAGGATTTTATCAGGTTCACTGGATGGATTCAGAATGCTACTTAAGAGCCATACACGATTCCACAACCGTGTTCCAACAGTAATATCATTATGCTAGGTCGTCGAGACGTGACGGTTGCAGACACAATTACTGTGACGATTCAGCTCGAACCATGGCTGAGGCTGGCGCTGCTTCCGGTCGTCCCAGATCGCGGGCTTCGCTCGGGACCTATTCTGTGTGCTTACTTCCGTGTCTAAGGGATGTGCGGCTTTGTGAGGCTCGCACCTACGCCTCGATGCGTCAAACAACGTAACACTCTGGGCAAATGCAGACGGCAATGTTTGTTTGCCCTGCGGGTGCAGGGAAAGTACTTCGATAGAGACCCTCTTTCCTATTGGCAGATCCTGGCAGCAACAGCGGTGACTACATTGAGGCCGTCTCCCTTGAGCTGAGTGCTTTCCTGGCTCAGCCACACGATTCAACATCCGGTGCATCCTTCCCAGGACCCGGGCACCCCCGAAGAAACACTCTACAAATTGAGATTTGCAGCTTCAACAAGCAGAAGGCCCTGACTTCTTGTCCTAACCAATGGAGTGTATACCTGAGAGGACAGAGGAAATATAACAGAACTAAGGCCGCCCTGGTGGCCTCCTTTGGGTCGACGGACGGAAGCCGGGCAAAGGCCTCAGACAAAAGCACAAAATGAACGGGGCGCTGGCTGCTTCGGATGACTGAAGGCGCACAGTTGGCAACTTGTACAGCCAAGGTTCTGTTGAGAAAATCCAAACACCAATCTCATAGGCCTAAACCCGAGGCATGCAGGTCTGTACCAAATAGCCATGATTTAATTTGCCTAGCATGCTGATTGCACCGGTTGGTTGCACTAGAACTTAATTTCATTGAAGCTTAAGTCTTGATGTGGAAAGTCCGATAGTCCAAGAGAAGCTGACATCGGCTAGTGTGCTGTTCTCAGGGTTGCAGTCGTCTCGGTTTCTGGAGTCGACTGTTGCGAGTAGGAGGCATGGAAGGCCGAAAAACTACACTGGTGACTGAGCGCTTCGCCTCATCAATTTCGCGGACGCTCATCCTGAGTTGAACTTCTAAATTCGAAACGATTTGTGGCCTCAGCCTCCATTACGGGTTAACTCGGATGTCTGGGTCCCTGCAGCCTGCATCCAAGGGGTATGTTCATGTGCTTGTTACTGCTACTAAAATTACTCTTCCATATCTTCAGAATGCAATTTTGGCATCTGCCGGGCTTCAGCATGTATTTTCGAAAGTCTGTCAATCTGCCTATGTCTTGTGCCTATCTATATCTATATATATATATATGTACACGCGTGCATACATACATACATACATGCATACTT